ATATAATATATATATATATACATATATAGACATATAAATATACATATATATACATTATATATACATATATATACATATATATAACATATATATACATATATATAATATATATTCATACTAGCGTACCCCGAACAGGACTTCCGTTCCTGTCAAAAAAGATTGTTTAAAATGTGAAATTTTTTTTGTTCCTTACATATGTTTATAGTCTGGCCAAAAAATTCTCTCCTGCAAAAACAGAACCGTCACGCTGGTTGATAGGCGGTAGTGAATAAGAAATATTAATTAAAATAAAACATTATATATAAGCATTTAAAAGTAAGTAATCGCTTTATTGTTTAATCTTTTGAATCATAATTATAACAAAAATCAGTTTTTATTTTTCATTGTTAGTGCTTTGTTATATACGATGTTTTTTGTCTGATTACCTGCACATTAGAAAAACAGATCTGATGGTTTTCTAACACGGGAAAACAGGCCAACATTACAAATTGACCATGTTGAGAAACATGGGTTTTTCAGGATTTATGACACAAACACTGTAATGGATTGCCCCTGGGACTATTTATGGTCATAGCAAAACCAAGCCGAAATGGAAACTGTAGTCGTTTAAAAGTCAAAACGGCACATCAGTCGAATCATTTGGATGTGCGGTATGAGGACTTTTTCTCCTTTATACCTTTCCTTTCGGTATCAGTTGCTTCTATCACGTTGTTTAGTAATTTTTTATCGTTAAACCGTGTTGCCGTTGCAAAGGACGTGTTGCTGATATTTCCCGCAAAACATTATAAACTACCGATCCAAACTTTAATTTGAAGATTTTAGGTAGCCAATCCTGGCCAAATTCCCAGCGAGTTTAAAAAAATTCTTGGTGGATTAGTTCACTACATCGTCTTGCGTTAGAGCCAATTCAACTGAATTTAGATATCCTCGATTCGCCTGTAATTTGTTTCTTGAATTTTTTTTAATTTAATTCAATTACATCTATGGTTTTTTGCAGCCAATATAAAGCTCGTTCGCTCAAACCAATTCATTGGATTTCTGTAATTTTGAGAAACATCTGGAAAGACACCTTCTGAATAAGTTCATCTTTTGATTCGAAGTCTACTGGCTGCATTAACCTTTCCTCAAAAGTTTTTTTGTCAGGTTAACAGGTCTATAGAAAATTTGCCGATTACAATAGCAAGAGTTGTTTAGAGAATAATCTTTCCAGATTGGTCATTTTGCCAAACTCGACACGCATATTCTTGCTTATCTCTCTTTATATATATCTTGGTATTCAGAGATGTGGTCTAGGAGACAACTAAACATCGTGATATCCATGCCTCGTGGAGAGGATCAGGGCCGGGAGATAAAAGAGATGGAGTTGATTGAATGCTATTAGTAATTGAATGAATGCAAAATAGTAGTGATAACCTCTTCGAAAAAATGCAATGCGAATACTCTATTGTATAAACTAAACAAAGAACGTGTAAACAATTAAGATTCCTCCTGTCTGCTATCTAAATTTTCTACGCTTCACCCGTGCCGTGTTTAATTAATAAAATATCCTAACATTAATTTTAAAATCACTAATGTTTCACAATGAAAATAATGTTTATACAATTAATGAATTAACCAACGGGTGAATACAAAACAAAATGTATATGATAAATTAATTATTTGAGGTTGGTAATTTTAATGAATTTGAATGTTGTTAGCTCGGCTTCCTCGGAGACTGGACAGGTACCTGGTACAAGGAGTTAGTTAGTATCCGCGTTGCGGTCTGAGCCTGAGACTTGCAGCCGGGCATTGATGACTGCGTCCGGGAACACATGGGCTCACTGCTGCATTAATGAGTCCGCGGACGCGATGCGCACTGGCTCTCGATATGGCGCCAACTCGCGATCCAAGGAATTTTCAGAAAAAGCCCGCGTGGACGGTGATTCAACGTGTATATGGCCGTTGTGATCTAGTTCGCTCGACGGTACGCGGCCGACGCAACGTGACGGATGGAGTTAACGCCGTAAGTTACTCGCGAGTGTATGTGTGGTGCCAGTACTCGGTGCCTTGAGGTGCCTGTAACCTGTTATTGGATGTTGACACCGCTGCGGCACGATTAATGACTTGGTGCGTCAGGGCAGTTCGTGAATGCCGACCGCCAGTGTAGTCCACACGTTCGGGCCGAAATAAAATGAAGAGTATGATGACACATTGATTTCTAAACAGTGATTTTAGGGTAGACGAGAGCGCGGGGCGCGGTGAGTTTTCAAATCCATAGAAACCTGGCTCCTCCCATGCCCCCTGCCCCAGGGGCGTGATCTCGCGCCGCTCGCGGAGGGGAGTGGTGAAGGTGGAGGGGGCACATCAAGTCCCGTGGGAGTTGCTGGCGAGGTTGGCTTGAGTCGCCTCGCTGTGGGTGGCTGTTCTTGCAGCAACCGCGAAGATGCTCATAAATTTGTTCTGCGTTCCGATTCCAAATGTCGGCATCCGAGTGCACGTGTTTGAAGGAAGACGCGCCCTCCGACCGAAGGGGTGGGGTCGACGGCGGCCGTGCAGTGGGTGCGCCGGGCCCCGGCGGCGGCGCCAAGAATCGAAGGCAGCACCCTTCAAAAAGAGCCATGACTTGAATTTGGGAGAGGCGGGCCGAGCCGTGAATGCACGGGTGCCGCCGAAATGCACCTAATGTGCGAAGCAAAAGCTACAATATATTGTTGACAGAATGTTCACCCGTACATTTTCCGTTCAATCGGCATTTGGTCCTTAGCACACTTTTGTCCATTTGAAAGCTTAATTTTTGCCCCGACCGTTTTAGTACTATGTGAAATTTCGACGTGTAATTACCCTACCCTTGCCGGATTTTTTCTTGAAATAATTGGAGCTACGTCGAGGAATAATTACAAAATAAAATATACAAACTAAAAGATAAACATTTATTACATTTCGAAAATCTTAACTCACTAACAGGCTCTGTTTTTAAATGTGTAATTTTCTTTATATCATTTTCCATCTTCGCTATTCTGAGGGTTGTAGTTTTAGGCGATATTAAACTATCCCGAAGTATTGCGTCTTTAGTTTAAATTCTTTATATTTATTGAAATTGTGCATTTGACATGTTCTTGATTTTAATTTTACCATCAGACGAAAATGCTATCAATTTATGCCAATTTACTAGAATTCCTTCACAATCGGACAATAGATACGTTGGACCACTTTTCTGAGAACTGAAAAATCTATGAATGAAGTGTAATATTGAACAAGAATGATATGGGCCAACACTGCAGGAGTTAGTGTTGAACAAATAATTTTAAATGAATTTTTTTTACAAACATTCCTGAAAGCCATTGTATCATATACCCTTGGACATTCTTGTATACACAAACGTGCAGAACAAGGATTAATAAATAGGAGTGGGATTGGCAGAGTATTTGTATACACATTTTCATGCAAAATATGTGTATGCATGAAAGTATGTCAAATTGTTTGACTCTTGAGCCAAATTTTTATTTCAAATTTATAAATGTAATTTTTATTGATGTCACTGACTAGTTGTAAGTGGTGGTTTTGTTTTGTTGTGTACACAGTGTAGTTCTCTTTTTGCATTTTAAATATTAATAAAATTATCAGATGAAAACCATAATTATTATCACCTTTTCATTCTGTTGTACTTTGATCTACAGTTTTGAACAGTTCTGCATTAATTATGCTAATGAAAAATTACAACAACAGTTCAATCAACATGTGTTTAAGTTGGAACAAGAAGAATATTTGAAAGAGGACATAGCCTGGAAATTTATTGATTTTTATGATAACCAACCATGTATTGACCTAATTGAGACACGTTTGGGTATTTTAGATCTTCTTGATGAGGAGTGTAAGGTAAGAAAAAAGTTATTCAATTGTTTTTTGTTTTTCATTTTTTATAATAAAAGTGAACTTGAAATTCAAGGGTTTTTTTATTAAAAGTGAAATACTATATTGGTTCTCTTGAACAAATTTTGAAGTTTGAAGTGTATCTAATGGGTATAGTCAATAATGGGTCTTAACATATTAGGAAGATGAATGTCTGATAACACATTTGTGATTAATAAACAAATCAGATTTAAATCATTTAATTATGTGCAAAATGAAATTCTAAAACTGATGTATAAGAAAACAAATCTTGCTACTCAAGAGTTGATTTTTAGAGACTATAAAATCATTACCGTCAAGAATTATTTTCTAGAAAGTTCCCTGATTAAATGCATGATTCTGAAATTTTAAGGCATAAATATGAAGTTATGTGAAATAGAAACAAAAGAAACACCACATTAATTCCATCCTAAATTAGAAGTTACAAAATCATTCTTACATCTGTTAGAATGTTTTTAGATTTGTATGGGACAGCATTCAAGCTTTAAATCGTAATAAATTGAAGAAGAAAAATAATAAAGTGCGTAGGTGTTTTTATTTTTTTTATATATGAACACCCGTGCAGTTACTTAAATTTTTTTGCCATTTTCCTAATTTTCCTACTTTTCCATTGTTCATTCTGAGAGATCAGACTCCATAGATGGTATTTTCACATTATGTAATTTCAAAAAGCAATTTATAAAGTTTTGGCCAAGGATCATTATGTGAGGCATGTTCTCATAAGAGTTTTCCTAACCAAAATTGCATTTTTTTTATTTAATCTGTATAAAAGTGATTTAAAATTCCTCTACACTGGAAAGATCGAATATTCTAAAGTCTAATAGTAAGTTATCAAATGTCGGGTGTTAGTCACAGTGGTGTATTGTTATGATACAGTAAAATGATTTTCAAAAATTATTTTACCCTACCAAAGACAGAAAGATATGCTTTGTGTTTTACGTCTTTGGGTGCACACCTTTTTTCATGAAGATATGAATTGACAAGAGAACCAAAATTAACTTGTATTTCTGCTCTTATATTTTCTAATGATTCCATTCATGGAGTATTTTCTTGAATATTCGTTGAGATTTCTTCGAAATATTTTTTTATGCTTTAGTGACTTGTACTTGCTTAAACTTCTTCTTTCAGTTTATGTAGCTGATAAAATCTTTTCTTTACAGATGCCTAAAGGCACTGACAATTCATGGGTGGAAAAACTGTACAGCAAATGCAGTTCATTTACCCATTTTGCACGTCCTCGTTTTGGGAATAGTGCATTTATAGTATGTCACTTTGCAGATAAAGTAACGTATCAAAGCAATGGATTTTTAGACAAAAATAAGGACACAGTAATTGAAGAGCAAATTAATGTTATTCGCAATGGACAGGTTTGTGAATATGTTTCCATGATTATTATTTTCTTAAACATTACTACTGAAAAATTGTTTTGGATTTTGCAGTGTGATACATAGTAAGGAGAACTTCTTAGATCTTCAATTTTCCTGGTTTTAACATGATATGCGAAGCAACATGGACTTGCCTTTTATAATACATTCCATTTACATTCTCGTGTACCACTTATGTAGTGTAGAGAAAGTATTGAAATCAAATGTCGGAAAATGGCGAATTTTCTACAGAAAATTTCATATAGTCAGCCCTGATACTGAAAAAGTGGATAAATTTTGTATTTTATACAGTAACTTACTTCCTCTATCATGTTGTGCACTTAGAATCCACCTTTTGTGGATCCTTGATATGGCAAAACGTGTCTGTGCACAACGATCATTCATACTATTTTCTTCAAAATAGATATTCTCCCATCGATCTGCCTGAACACAAAGCTCTGTGAATTTGTCATGGAATATTTTTGATTTTGGGGGTACTTTACACCCAACCTTAACTTTCCTCAAATTTTCTTAAAAAAGGCTCCACAATTTTTATTAATTTTTTACACCTGGGATGGTATGAGACGCTTAAAAATTGTGCATGTCGCACTTTAATTGAACTCTCAAATTTTTGAAAATTACAGAAGTAGTATTTTTTCTTCTAAAAGTACAATATTGAAAATTGATATTTTTTAAATGAAATCTATTCTTCAAAGACCTGTCTTGAAATAAGGTCATGTACAATTTTTGGAAAACATGAGTAGTTTGGTGTAAGTTTACGTGTTATATAGGCAATTTAAAATATTCTCCAAACGGCTTCAATTTTTTAATCCTCTTCGAATGAAGCAAAGTACGTGTATAAAATGTCACGGAATGGAGTTACGGTGAACTGAAAATTGCTAGAATTTAACATTGCAAAAGTAGTACAATATTGATAAGAGATTTTTTTTAATTAGTAAAATCTGTACTTGAAAATTAGATCTTTAAATAGTGTTCATGTACAAGTTTTTGAAAAATATGAGTAGTTTCATGTAATTTCTGCTTGAAGTTAATGTAAATTATATGTAAAAATTCATTTTCTCGAAAAGAGTCCAAATGTTTTCTTTCTTTTTCAGGGAGAGAGCAAAGAACGATTTTTTTAAAAATGGCTTAGGCCTCATTTTTGTTAAACTCTCAGAATTTTCGAAATTTGTGCAAGTTAGATATAATAGTAGCGACCTTTAGTTTTAAAGTTGAAGAGCGAAGTTCCCCTAGCGACTGCGAGATGTAGCAGTAACGTGTATGGTCTGTTGACTTGGAGGACCTATTTTCTTTCACCTCTACACATTGCGTAGATACATTGTTGTGGAGAGGGTGTCCTATGAACCTTTCAAAAGGCCCTGGGACTGGCTGTGTCATTTTATATTACATACAAAGTGTGTTCGAAAGTAATGCAATTTCTTTAAAACCAATCTATTGTTTGAAGATATTGTTACACACGTTACATCCACACGATTTCCAGCGACTCTGCCACGCACGGTATGCGTCCTCCAATGTGTCAACGATGGACCTCGGCTAGGGCCCTCGCCATGGTATCTTCGATGGCATCAGTCGATCCAAAACTGTTTCCTTTCAGGGCGGTCTCAATCCTCATGAGAACGAAGTCGGCTGGAGACATGTTCGGACTGTAGAGGGGGCAGTGTTGTCAAGTTGTGCTTCACCTGATACTTATGAATGTGCATTGCGATGTGTTTGGGAGTATTGTCGCGGTGGGGTATTGACATTGTCCAAAAAATCGGGTTTAGTTTCCACGCATTCAAGAAGTTCACTCGCGACAGTCACCCAGTGACTCTATTGATCGTCCGTCAGCAGCTTGGGAACAAGCTCGGTACACACCTTCCTCATGTCCATTTATCGATATTAATTGTTTTGGGAATGTTGAGAGTTTCTGCAATCATCCGGACACTCAACCAACGGTCAGAATTAGCATATCAAAATTGCCGTCGGTTATGCTAGTTGAAGGCGGTCCAGCGCGAAGTTCTTGGACCACCTCATCCCGGCCTTGAAAGCTTTCAACGACCTCGAAACTGGCGAATATGATAGATCATTAGCCTCATAAGCTTGAACAATCAATTGGTGACTCCCCTCAAGAATTTGTTGAATTTTACGGCATAACGTTGCTCGAGTGACGATTTTATCTCGTTTTGTGATACGGGCATTAAATGGGGGTACGCGGAGTCGGCGATCCTGACGCCCCAACTGCTCATAGCAGACTGGCGAAGGCATCGCTTTGTAGTTGAGAGTCCTCCCCACCTAACCAAACCGATGGAATCGCTCTGCGGCCATTTGAAGTACCCGCACAAAAAATTGCATTAATTTCTGCATACACCTTGGATAAGTGTAACCAAAAATGAAATCGTAGTTCAATAGTCAGTGCAAAAATACCAGAATCAAAATTATTACAAATCAAAATCAATATTCGAATCGTAAAGCAAATATCGAAGAAAAAATTGTATAAAGTAGCAAATAAAACATATTAATTCAACTAATTTATTAGTTACAGTTGTTAGTGGTATATTGATTAGAACTGATTTAACGTCTGCCACGGAGTCAAGTGACGTCCAAGCTCCCGCTTGGTGCTGCGTTCTGGGTGGCAGTGACGAAAATCGTATTCCCTTGAAGGCTTGCTTCACCCAGTTTTTTTCCGTGCCATTTCGCGCGACTTTGAGAAAGTCCTGCTGGGCGCACTCAAACGCAGGAAAATGAAAAATGCATGATATATTCTGTTAGTCCCAAGGAAGGTTTATAATTGTGAATAGAGGTTTGGCGCCCAATTGAAAAATGCTAATGCATAAATGTAACAAAGATTAATGTATTTTATCAGAAGTTTTATATTCATTAACAGCTACAATAAAAATTAAGAAATACAATTACATTTTGTAAGAAATTTTCCAACATTTTTGAAGAAAAGAAATGGGCGAAAGGGTTGCGTAGGATTCCGCCAATATCCAATTGCGCAACCTCACGTACCAATATAGAAACTTTCCAGTGAGGCGGCCCTCGAATGCCACGGCGAGATGGTCCTTCGGCACATCTGGGTTTTGAACCTTCACACACATACCTGGCGTAGCCATTAAGTCCATCTCGACCCACTACTTTTACAAATATGCTGGAGGCAGTCTGTCAACCCGCGTGGTAGCTTGTACTATTTCTCTGGGTGTAGGGAGCCAGTTCCTCGAATACACACACAGACGGATCGTACACAATTCACACACATACACACACAGTTACCAGTCAGAGCATGGGCTTAGGGTGAGATTAAAGTGTATCGAGAAATGTATCCAATGCCACAAACACAAGTGAGGGATCAATGTGATCGGCTAGACGTAACGGGGGCACATTTGCCTTACATGCTAGCTCTTTCGCCACCCAACCAGGCCCCCAGCCCAACCAGTAGAGACAGGAAAGGAAGGGTGATGAATGGGAAAACCAATCATGCCACAACACATATGTAGAATGTTAATGCTTACGCAGGATCGTACCTAGGATGCCACGCACTGTGCTCACTTCAGTACTGCTGCCTTAGTGACCGCAGCCATTTGAGTCAACATATTCTGAATTACACCTGTATCAAGAAGTCTTTAATTTCCTAGAGTAGGTTTATAGCCCAGTTAAGTCTATTTTAGCTGATATGTTACGGCAGTCTTGACCTTCATTTTCTTTTTGAAAATATATTTTCACTTAACGCTGAGTATCTTTTCATTTGATATTGCAGACTAAATTGATAAAGAAACTTTTCTGCAAAGATGAATCTGCAAATAAGAAGTTGACAGTGCCTGCTGGACGCACAAAGGTTTCCGTCAATCCCAAGGCTGCTACTGTTGGTCCTGCTCAGAGACATCACAAGAAAACGGTAAATTGATCTACCTATATTATTATTGTTGTTATTGTTATTATTATTATTATTATTTTGGTCGCCAATTGGTCGTCTAGGACCACGCGGAGATACTTCTGCACTTACCGAGGGTCAATTACATCTATCCCGTGGCAAGTGTATGTGACTCCTTTTTGGGGAGGATCAGCATTATGCTGAATCCAATTTTTATTCCCTGAGGTTAATAGTCGTGGAGGAGGATGTAATGGTGATGATAATGAAAGATGGACAACACGCAAATACAGACGTATACAAACACACCCATACCAGAGGCGGGACTCGAACCCGCTATCCTTCCGTCCGAGATCGCAACGGCACTAGTGCCTTAGCAATCTCGGCTATCCGGACCATTATTTTTACTATTATTATTATTATTATTATTATTATTATTATTATTATTAATGCTGCTTGCCTTGCTTTGTAGCGTCCCGATATGTGATTGTGCTCTCTAATATTGTATTTAATCCTTACGCATGCTTTTGAGCTCCTTGAAGAGCATAAAGGGTTTTCATCGAGTTGACGTACACATTGTTATAATCAAATAGTATCTGGAGAGGTTTCACTAGTAGTTCTTTAGTTTTGACCAGGAGGCATTAATAAGCGCAGAGCGAGTACAAGCAGCGAACAAGTTTGCCACAAGTGTCCTGTGCACGTTTCCAATTTAGGAAAATATCGTTGATCGGATAGAGATATTAACTTCAGAGCATAAGGGCGCAATGGTGTTGATCGAGAATTATTTCAATTTTGATGTGAATTATATAATAATTGGAATTTTAAGGGTTTAGTCGTTTGACCGTTCCTCACCGACCATTCAAGTAAGAATTAGAACCGTTCTTTGTATTGGAAGCTTACTGGGACACTTCAGAATGTTCATCACTGGCGTAAATCTATCTGTAGGTTATAATCCGTATATGTACAGCACAGGGGGGAAATCATTTAGTAAGATCAAGAAAGGATTAATATGTAGACGGAACAAGTCAACACCGATTTCTTTAGTTCGAACTGTAAGGCCATATACCATACACCCCAATATTCCTTCATCCAGCTCTCTATAATCATCAAGAAAGAACACCTGTGACAGGGCCCTCAGGTACTCCTCGCAAAACTCGCGGAGGTGATTGAGAAAATATTTCTACAACAACCGAGATACGTTCGCAACGTCTTTTCGACGTAATTCCCAGGACATCATGCGACATGGCACTATTTCAATTCTTATACTTCATAATAATTGTTTTATTAAAATTGTATTTATTTTGGACATCTTAGTGCCTGTGACAGCTTGTGACGCGGCGTTGAAGGCTTCGTTAACTTCCTCAGGACTTCCTCAACCCAGTCCTGAGGAAGACCACGACAAGATTGACAAAAACGTCACCACAGCCTTCGATGCGGACAATAAAGAGCACTCACACGGCTCGCCGCGAGAGCCTACGACTTCACTTATCTTAGAAATTGCATCTACAACTAGTGGAACCAGGCAGACGTTGTCCTGCCCTCTATCTCTTTCTCCTTCCCTCTCCCTTTCTCACTGTCCTCGTCCCTCTCTCTCTGTCCCCATCTGTCTGTCCCTCCCTGTCCCCCTCTGTCTGTCCCTCCCTGACCCCCTCTGTCCCTCCCCGTCCCCCTATGTCTGTCCCTCCCTGTCCCCTTGTATGTCCTTCGTGTCCCTCTGTCTGTCGCCACGCCTGTCGCCCTCTGTATGTCCTTCCGCTGTCAACCCTCTGCTGTCCCCCTCTTGTATGTCCTTCCTGTCACCTCTGTCTTCCTCCCTCTGTAATGCCCGTCCCTGCCCCCTCTGTATTCGGCTCCCTGCCCGTCTGTCTGTACTCCCTGGGCCCCTCTGTCCCTGTCCTCTGTCTGTCTCCTGTCTCCTCTTGTCCCTCATGTCCCTTGTCTGTCGCTCTCTCTGGTCCCCTCTGTCTGTCGTCTCTGTCGCTTCTTGTCGTTGTCCTCCAATGTCACCCTGTATGTTCCCTGTCTGAGAACCCCTTTCCCCTCTGTCTGTCCTCCTATCCCCTCTTCTGTCTTCCTTTCCCATCTTGTTCCTCTCCTCCCTCTGCGTCTCTCTCTCTCTGCGTCCTCTCTCTCCTTCTCTGCGTCTCTCTTCTCTCCTGCGTCTCTCTCTCTCTGCGTCTCTCCTATCTCTCTCTGCGTCTCTCTCTCTCTCTGCGGTCTCTCTCTCTCTCTGCGTCTCTCTCCTCTCCTGCGTCTCTCTCTCTGCGTCTCTCTCTCTCTGCGTCTCTCTGCTCTGCGTCTCTCTCTCTGCCGACTCTCTCTCTCTGGCGATCTCTCTCTGCGGACTCTTCTCTCTGCGACTCTCCTCTCTGCGACCTCTCTCTCTGCGTCTCTCTCCTCTGCGCGGTCTCTCTCTCTGTCTCTCTCTCTGCGTCTCTCTCTCTGCGTCTCTCTCTCTGCGGTCTCTCTCTTCTGCGTCTCTCTCTCTGCGTCTCTCTTCTCTCTGCTCTCTCTGCGTGCTCTCTCTGTGCGTCTCTTTCTCTGCGTTCTCTCTCTGGTCTCTCTCTCTGCCGTCTCTCTGCTCTGCGTCCCTGCTCTTCTGCGTCTCTCTCTCTGCGTCTTCTCTCTGGCGTCTCTCTCTTGCGTCTCTCTCTCTGCGTCTCTCTCTTGCGTTCTCTCTCTGCGTCTTCTCTCTCTGCGGTCTCTCTCTCTCTGCGTTCTCTCTGCTCTGCTCTCTCTCTCTCTGCGTGCTCTCTCTCTCTGCGTCTCTCTCTCTCTGCGTCTCTCTCTCTCTCTCTGCGTCTTCTCTCTCTGCGTCTCCTCTCTCTGCGTCTCTCTCTCTCTGCGTCCTCTTCTCTCGCGTCCTCTCCTCTGCGTTCTCTCTCTCTGCGTCTCTCTCTCTCTAGCGTCTCTTCCTCTGCGTCTCTCTTCTCTGCGTCTCCTCTTTCTCGCGTCCCTTCTCTCTCTGCGCTTCTCTTCCTCTCTGGTCTCTCTCTCTCCTGCGGTTCTCTCCTCTCTGCGTCTCTCTCTTCTTCTGCGTCTCTCTCATCTCTGCGTCTCTCTCTCTCTGCGGTCTCTCTCTCTTTCTGCGTCTCTCTCTCTCTGCGTCTCTCTCCGTCTGCGTCTCTCTCTCTCTGTTCGTCTCTCTTCTCTGGCGTCTCTCTCTCTCTGCGTCTTTCTCTCTCGCGGGTCTCTCTCTTCTGCGTCTCCTTCTCTCTGGCGTCTCTCTCATCTCTGCGTCTCTCTTCTCTTCTGCGTCTCTCTCTCTCTGTGCGTCTCTCTCTCTCTGCGTCTCTCTCTCTCTGCGTCTCTTCTCTCTCTGCGTCTCTTCATCTCTGCGTCTCTCTCTTTGCTGGCGTATCTCTCTCTCTCTGGCGTCTCCTCTCTCTCTGCGTCTCTCTCTCTATGCGTCTTCTCTCTCTCTGCGTCTCTCTCCTCTCCTGGCGTCTCTCTTCTCCTCTGCGTCTCTCTCTCTCTGACGTCTCTCTCTCTCTCTGCGCGTCTC